CACTATTTCTCTAATCTCCATCTTACCAATCAGTTAAAATGACTATTATTGATATTAGAAAAAAAATTCTCTCAAAATCTAAACTAAATATTCCACCACTCCTATGTTTTCTGAACAAGAACAATATTTTACTCAATAAAAAATCCTCTCTTACCCAAAAAACAAAAAAATATTTCTTCCTTTTATGGAGAAAGTTTGATTTATATAATCATTACACAAAAACAAAACCATAAACTCTATCTCTAGCAGGTATGTCACTACGACCTAAATTTCTTACTGTAAAATGAAATTACAACATACAGCTCAAGCCTTCAGAAGGTCACTGAACAGATCCCAGTACCTGCACTCTCACTTTCATCATCATGCTTCTCAGTGCAACAGGGACATTCCTCACTCAGTAACTCAAATGTGTCTACTCTTCCATTAATCATTACTGTTGTTATTATCATAAATATCTTGTATAATTTTTTGTTTGATAATATCATTGATTCTCAAATTTTCCTCATTGCTATAACTTTCATAACTTTTATCTTTACCATTAAAAATAATCAACATGATTTCAATTTTCTATTACCATTATATTCACTTTTATCAGTATCATTCATATTTTACAAAGTTTTTTTTTGAGCCTCCAATTTCAAATGATGTAAAACCGGACACAAATGTTACTTCATTTCTAAGAAGGCAGCATGTGAATTCAAACCAGATTTCAGTATATGCTAATAATGCATGGTGGCTTTTAAAACAGGATTTTTTCCTCATTAGTATACTGGCTGTCTTCTATGTAATTACAAGAGTTAAGGGGGTTCTTATATGCAAATAATCTACCCTACAGAACCGGCTGCAATTTTCAATTTTGAAACAGATCACCTATCTCATAAAAAAAAACAACAAATATTAACCACTTTTGTTAATAAGTGGTACATTTGTGTCTGCTGTTAGGATTTGAATAGAAAATTGAAGCCAAATCATAAGGGTAAAGATTACAAATAAAACTATAACTTTCTCTGGTCATCCTATTGGTATGAGCCACACTTCGAAAGGCTGGTCCTGAGACGTTATTTCATATGATTTGTTAATTATAAAGTCTAGGTCAAAATTAAAAAAGAAAAAGGAAGAAAAAATATCAAAATAAAACTGATGGATCAGTGAGTAATGTTTGCAACAGCCACTTCCTTCATTAAAACTCTGTTAACTGTTGCAAATAAGTAAAAAGAAAAATTTAATGAGAAAAATATAAGCTGGGAGAGAAAGACAGAAAGAAGTAGAAGATATAAACATCATTTTCTTTAGATCAGTGGTTCTTAACCTGGGGGATGTGGCCCCCTAGGGGGCCGTCAGTAATTTCCAAGGGGGAAAAAGCCCTTGGGAAAAAGCAGGAATTTCTCTAATCCTATTCATTGTTCTCTTAAAGAGAGCATGGTTAAATAATGAGTAGATTAATAATTAATAATAATGTGAGTTATTCATACTCAATAAAAAGACTAAGATTATATTTACAATTTTCTTTAAAATTTTAAAATTCATAGATGTAAGGGGGGTGTGGAGGGAAGGACCAATTCCAAGAGGAGGTAGTTAAAAAGGTTAAGGACCCTGCTTTAGATGGACAGTATCTCACATGACTCAACATTATGCAAACTTCTGACCTTTGGTGACCTTCAGTCAACTCTAGCTTAATTATTTCTATATCGCTTATAAAACCATTTCAGAACAATTACGAGTGTAGATGATTTGAGTAGGTTGAATGGATTTCACATCATGATTTATTTGTATATCCTTAACCCATTCACGCCGGGTGTCACGTATACGTGACGGGCCCACAGTGAGTTTACTTGTTTAATTGTTTTCACTCATAGATGGCTACACTTGTACTTGTACTGCCTGTGTCGTCTGTTTACCCTTTTCTTTAATTTACGAAAATATCTTACGTTATCTTATTCTGCTGTTACTAATGTTTATAACATTATAGTAATTATAATGTTTATAATAAAAATAACCATCGATATTCATAGTACTAGTAAAAAATACATTTTCCCGCCAAATGAAATCAGGTAAGGCAGAGCCATCTAGTGTAGAGAAATTTCATAAAAAGTATAAAAAATGAGCACAGCATTTTCCCCCATTTTTTGTTCATTTTTACCCGTCGCGAATGGGTTAATGATAAATATGTTTATCTGTAGTGTATTATGAATCATCTTTTTTCTTCTTTTCCTTTTCTTTTTCTTTTTTGATAGATGAACTTATCTGACCCCATTTTTGTTTACCCTTTGACCTCCAGTGACCTTAAATTTGAGTCAATCCTTATAATTCCTATATTTACAGGGTAGCTGGTCTAAGACAACAATGCAATATGTTATCGTTATCTTTATCATGGTTATCCATAAGGTGGGATTCAATTTATCAAACAGAATAAAAGATTTAGCTAGATCTAGCTAAGGTCTGCATCTCCATAGTGAACCTGAATTAAATTTTTCCTCTCGGAATTCATCAAATAAGCACCAATTTATTTATTTAATGAATACAGTAATCACGGTTCTACGATGAGGAAGTGGTCTGTTTCAATTTGACAGTTGGTAACTCTGGGTTCACTGATTACTAAAAGGATGCCCCTAAGCAATAACCACTTCCAGCTATGTCCAGCATGTGTCCAATACAGGTTTTTTGGATGGATAAAGCAGGAATTGGTTCCTAATTTGGTAATAAATAGATAGGAATGTCAATACTCCCTATCTTGCCAATACATATATAATACAAGCTTGCTAGACTGCTGAAACAGAAACAAGTGTAACATTTAACAAAACTTTTGCACATACTGCAAAATATTGTTACATATATTTCTCCATTTTTTTTTGTTCTGGCTGTGACACCAAAATGATATTCAGTGTAATTTATAGTAAGCAAGAGGAACTAGCATTTAAAAAAAGGCCAAACCACAAAAACTGACAGACAGAAATCATCATAATCTACATAATTTTCATTACCATATACAACTTCAGAAGACTCTTGTAAATCGTTTTTCAAAAGTATATTAAATAATACCATGCTTTTATAAATATTTAAAAAACACCTGCTTTTCTGTCACTAGCCTTACAGCACTGGTGGAAGACTGTAGGCATTAACCAGCGTGTGATGTCTTGACAATGCGACAGTGTTAAGCTGAATTTCTAGTAATGGCCCTTTCATTATAGATCACAGGAAATTTCTAATGAAACTGGATAGAATATAGCAGATATAATTACAAAAAGCAAGGGCAAAAATTTACAAGTTCACCACAGTGCTGTATAGCTAAGCAAGTAATACTGTTATCTTAATTATTAAATTCCCAACATCTTTCCTTAAATGATTATCTACTACAGACGATTACTTACCAAGATGACAATTTCTATGTACTTATTTACACTGGCATATTACCTGATTACACTTTGTAGAGCAAGGAGATAGGGGTCCGAGGGTAGGCTAGGATATGTTACGCTAGGTTAGGTTAAGGCAAGCTAGGCTATGCTAGGTTATACTCGAATCAGTTCAATTCTATTTAATTTGGTTCTATTCGGCTCAGTTCACGTCGGTTCAATTAGGCTCGGTAAGTCACGTAAGGCTAGGCAGCGAAAGGGTGAAAGAAATTGTACATCTTGGTCAAAGGGAGAGTAATCACCTGTTTTGGAAATTGGACATGAAATTGGAAATGAAGGTAAAAAATGTCCGAAATTCCGGACTGACAATGAGGAAAAGCTAAATTTCATAATGGGTGTGAGGATGGTGAACTTCAAAAACTTTACTGACAGTCCTATTTGGAAAACCCCTGTGAGAATCCTTTATATATTAAACCCTCATTATATCAAATACAAATATGCACCTGTATTGCACGATATTCTTCGGTAATGCAAAAATTATAATTACTTTCCAGTGAAAGGTACACACCTAATCTCACAAAACAGCTTAATGAAGTTTAAAACTTTTTCTGCTGTTGTAGAACCAATGAAGATATTAATCTATAACACCATAATTCAAATTTACTTAGGCTCTTATGAAACATATAACGAAAACAAGTTACATAAGCTAGCAACACTTTCTTAACCCGAGTTCAGTCACCAAAAACTCCATTAAATCAGTATGACAATCTCACACCACAGCTAAAACATGTACACCATAATAATCTGCGGCCAAAGACACACCAATCAACATTTTCCCTTCCACCGTAGTAAAACAAATTCCACAAAAAAACAAATCCCTACACACGAGTCCTTCAAGTGAATCAGCTGATCGGGAACAATACAGCTCTCGATGTCTTATATCAAGGTTATAAGTCTCGCCAGAGCCTTCCTCTCCTCCTCTCTCTCTCTTTTTCCCCTTTTGGATCATATTTTGGGCCTCGAAACCCCTCGTGCACTGACCTGACTCGGGTATTTAAGGTCGTTCTGGCACCGGGCAACAGGAGACGCGTGAACCTACACCTTGAGGCTGCCATCTTCATCGCTTCTGAACACAGACGGGAAGCCCAGCTGAGCCGCCGATCGCTCTTTTCGCTTGCTTTCGGGCGCTTTATTTCTGTTTCGGACACTATTTACTTTCCCTTGACACTTTTCAGAAAAGCCTAGAGCTTGTGATAACGCCTTATAACGTTATGATATTTAAAGAAAACCTATCTTAATTCTATCTAGGGGAAAAATAATAGACTCCTCCCTCCCTCCCTCGAAAAAAGAGAGATTTCCCCCCTAGGAAAACTTTCACCGCGCGGTCTAAATGCTAAGAAAATTGTCCCGGAACAAGGTCAACCGAGCGGGCGGGCAGGTCGGGGTGCGTTGCGGGGACGGCCCGGGGATCGATCCCACGGCAGACGACGCACCCCCCCCCCCTCGCGCGCCACCTTTGAATGCCCCGTCATGCACGTCAGGCACACACACGGCCAACTCGACGCATCCCCCCCTCACGCGCCACTTTTGAATGCCCCTCCATGAACGTCAGGCACACATACGACCAACTCGACGCACCCCCTTGAACGC